GAAACCCTTTTTCAACATCGGAACACCGATTGTCGGATCAATTGCTGGAGCTTGCTTCTGACGGTAGCATGAAAATCCTTTTCGAATCTGCAGAATCCTTGGCGTGCTTTTGGATCAAAGCTAGAGCGGAGTATCCTGACCTGGCTGGAATCGCTATCAAAATACTTCTCCAATTTCCATCAACACATCTGTGTGAAACTGCTTTCTCAACAATGTGTGTCATAATGACTAAGTGCAGAAACCATTTGGACATTCAGCCCCATTGCGTGTTGCACTGTCTTCCATCGAACCAAGACTTGATAAATTGACAAATAAAAAATAAACTCTCTTTTCACGCTGACGACAATCTAATGATTCTTATATTGACGTAAATTCTATATTTATTAAAGCAATCCTTTCATAATGATGTATGTACGTATATATTTTTTAAAAAATCATATAATAGAATAATTATGCATTTCTTATCAAAAAAGTGAACGATATATTTGGTTTTCATCACCGGTCCGTGGGGTGATCAAAAGATTCGTAGCCGGTCCACCGTTTCAAAAAGTTTGAGAAACACTGCAGTCTAACGTACTCATAATAATGAAGATAATAATTACTATATTACAAATATAAACAATTATTTTGGAGTGTTTTCTCACAGATTAGTACAACTTGTTTACTTTTCAATAACAGAGGAAGAATATGATAAATGTATTTGTGTATTTTCAAATGTTATTGCATTTCTATTAACTTTAATTCTTGAAGAAGGAAAAATAACTGATGGATTTAAAATATCAATTTTATAATTTGTTTACCTATTTATAAGTCAAGAACAAAAACTAGTAATTTTAGACCAATTTCAATCTTACCTGTAATTATAATAATGGAAAGGTATGTATATAACAAAATGTTGGACTTTATTGAAAATAATAATATTATAAACAAATATCAGAATGGATTTATAAAGAATAAAAGTACCACATTACTCTTTGAAAATCTTTCAAGTAATGTGAATTTACAATTAGATAAAAATTAAAATGTACTTGTGTTATTTCTTGATTTAAGTAGAGCCTTTGATATATTAGACCATAAAACACCGCTGGATAAATTATACATGATGGGCATAAAGTGGAAGCTACATAATTGGTTGATTATGAATTATTTGAGTAATAGTGTTACAGTAATAAGAACTGATGAAATAATTAGTGATCCAATGACTCTAAAATACAGTGTTCCACACGGTTCTGTTTTGGATCCACTAATATTTAATTTGCAGGGCTGGCGGATTTGTTTTACCGCCCTGTGCAAACGCTGGCGGTGCCACCCAACCCCAAACAAAATTTCCATGAATCATATGTAGATAGCAGCAGTATTATAGTGCCTTGTAAAAGTTTCCACATTTTGTTGTCGTCTGAGCTTGCAATCATGAAACTTTAAATGGGACTTTATATTTAGAATCTATACAATCTATTCCAAACTAAGAAAACTAAAAACCTTATTAGGTAAGTGAGTCAGATTTTCAAAGAAAATTAGGATATTCTCAATTGCACAATTATTCAACCCCTTTGCTACGGCAACCCTAAATCAGTTCAGGTGCAAAAAATTAGTTTGAAAGGTCACAAAATCAATTTAATGGTTCTATCTATGTGTAATCAAAGTGGTTTAACTTGACTTCAGAGTAAATGCATCTGTTGAAACCACAACTCACATAGTAATACGCCAAACCAACTACGAAGACGAAGAAGCTTCCCAAACAACTCAGAAGCACATATCAGGAGAAAGTTGCAAGAAAACTTCAAACTCGCTGATTATCCCTTTGAGTACGGTGAAGTCCATCGTTAAGAAGTAGAATGTACTTCATACCATCCAGTTATACCCATATCAGGCCACCCTTCTAAACTATGTAGCAGGACAATGAAGGAAACTGGTTAGGGATGCCACTGTGAAGCCAACGGTGACTTTGAAAGATTTGCAAAGTTTCATGTCTTAGATGGAAGTCAGTGTTCATACATCGACAATATCCCGGTCTCTAGACAAAGCTGGCCTGTATGGGCGAGTGGCAAGAAAGAAGCCATTACTAAAAAAAACATCTTAAATCTCGCATGGAGTTTGCGACAAAGCATGTAAATGATGCTGCAGACATGTGGCAGAAGGTTTTGGGGTTAGATGAGACAAAAATTGAGCTTTTTTTGGTGTAAATTCAAAGCGTTACATCTGGCGTAAGCCGAACACAGCACACCAACCAGTCAACACCATCCCAGCTGTGAAGCATGGTGGTAGCAGCATCATGTTATGGGGATGCTTCTCATCAGCATGGACTAGGAAGCTTGTCAGAATTGAGGGGAAGATGGATGGTACAAAGTACAGATGAATTCTAGAGGAAAAGCTGCTTGAATCAGCCAAGAATCTAAAACTGGTTCGAAAATTCACATTTCAGCATGACAATGACCCGAAGCACAAGTGGTTTCAAAAGAAGAACGTGAATGTTCTGGAGTGGTCCAGTTAAAGTCCTGACTTGAATTCAATAGAAAATCTATGGTTGAAGATTGCAGTCCGTCAACGATTTCCAACGAACATATCAGAATTTTGCCAGAAAGAATGGGCAAAAATTACACCATCCCATTGTGCAAAGTTGGTGGATACCTATCCAAAAAGACTGACAGCAGTAATTGCTGCCAAAAGTGCTTCCACCAAGTACTGACTTAGGGGTGAATACTTATACAATCAGCAAATTTCAATTTATAATTTTCTTTACAGGTTTTGCGACATTCAACCTCCTTCACACATAACATTGATAAAAAGATACAGGCTCAATGGAGAATTCAATATGGTTTCCTAGGGATGTGTGAGCTTTCAGATGCACATTTTAATGAAAGTAATGTTTTTCTATACATTACAAAAAACAAGCTTAACATGTGTAAATATAGCGCATTATAAATCTACATTATTTATTTAGCCTAATCGTTCAATTTGTAGCTTTAAGTAGCGAATGAGATTCAAAGGCAACCACGATTCAAAGTAATGATTTGGCAATCCGGGTCAAATTAGAGTCCAGTATTGTCCGTCTTGGATTTTACTTTTTAAATACTGTCTCTGCTAATGTTTACGGTTCAAGTACTGTCTGTACTTATGTTCACTGTTCAAGTACTGTCTGTGCTTATGTTTACTGTTCAAGTACTGTCTGTACTTATGTTCATTGTTCAAGTACTGTCTGTGCTTATGTTTACTGTTCAAGTACTGTCTGTGTTGAAGTTTATATACTATTGAAATACAGTCTGCGTTAAAGTTTAATGCTGAAATGCTGTTTTCTTTATGTTTGCTGTTCAAATGTTTTCTGTGTATTAGTTTACTATTCACATATTCTACATCGTTAGGTGTACTTTTCAAATATTTTCCCTCTTTAAGTTTATTTTTCAATATTCTCGTTCTTTAAGTTTACTTTTAAATATTCTCGTTATTTAAGTTTACTTTTAAATATTGTCCGTCTTTTGAGTTTACTTTTCAAATATTGTCTGTGCTTAAGGCACCCCAGTGGCACAGCGGTATGTCTGCGGACTTACAACGCTTGGAACCGGGTTTCGATATCCGTGGTGGGCAGAGCACAGATAGCCTATTGCGCAGCTTTGTGCTTAACTTGAAACAAACAAACAATCTGTGCTTAAGTATGCTTTTCAAATATTGTTTGTGTGTGTTAGATTCTTGTTTAAACACTTG